ATTGCTGTCCAGGACCCGGGCCGGAACCAGAGAGTGAGTCAACAAGGGAACCATCGTCATCACGGCATGTGTACTTGTCAGCTTGTACATGTGGGTGCAGCTCACTGCATAGCATAGCATACATACAAGGCACATTGATTACAAATATATTGTGGACAAGTATTGACATACAAAATAGGCGAATGTTCTCACAAGAGGTTATCACCAGAACGGCACCTGACCAGTGAAGTGAAAGTGAAACTACAGCCTAAAAACTGAAAAAGCCGACTCGGCTGCTTCGTGAACATTATGTTATTGACCACGAATAATGCTTTAGGTATTGCTTTTTTTCTATTGCAGGTGTGGGAATATAATATTAGAATAACACACATACCTCAAACAGTTCGTTTAATTCATGTTGTGTGAAATCGATGCTTAACAAAATTTCTATCGACAGCACTCTAGTGTTTACCAATGGCGAATAGACGGTACGAGTTATCGGCCTTGATATTGTATGACACCCGGTGAGGGCACTGCGAAATCAGTAACATATTTTCCCGCCACTGGGAGTCGGCGGTCCCTTTACTTTAGGTCTCTGTCCCTAGTTACAATTGAACAGAAGATGAAAGAGATCTCTCCAAACCAGTATGTACTCCATCTTCTAGTCCTTTGCTTCAATTTTTGGGCCGGTATTGATTTCTGTAAAACCCACAGACAGAGTGGAAAACAAGCATGCATACTACCAGGAAAACTAGAGTGCGAAGTACTAGTCTAGATCTACACAGTGTTATACTGGTATTCAGTGTTACATGTCATCGTTTTAGTCTCCTGCAGCTTGGACACCCGAGCATATGTGCTCTGTACAAATTACAGGTGTGCAGTGCTCTGTACAATACAGGTGTGCAGGAAGATGAAAACCCAAGTACAACCTTGTAGAAACTTCTTTTCCTTATTTCTGTATGAATAAATCACTTAACTAAATTGAAAAAAAGAGAGATCTTTGTACTTTGAACACTGTAATACTTTTCAGATTACAGCTGTATAACAAGCCTGAAGACAGATGTAGTTCATTCTAATCCTATAACTTCATCAAATCTTGTGACACAGATCTTTAAGGTATATAATATCAGTTACTATTTTGTTTGAATTTATATTTAAAATTGATAATATTATTGTTATACAATTTATATATGTCCAATTGCGAAACAATTGCTTGTTGAAATGTAAATACGTTAATTCCCGGCCTCTTAGATTGGTGTGGCATGCTGCTGCATGACCTTGGTCAGCTGTTTATGTAATTACGACGCAGTTACACTTTGAATACTTCACATTCTTGGTGTTGCGCTTCACACTCTTGGTGTTGCGCTTCACACTCTTGGTGTTGCGGCCTTCACACTCTTGGTGTTGCGCTTCACACGTGTGCACGTGCAGATCATATAAATCTGTGCACACCTCCTATCCAACACTGATCATTGCTCATTACATAAGAGAGCCAATACCAACACAAATATCCTGCTTTTTGCAACAGAACCACTTGTTACCTGATTTCTTCAAGTTTTCCTTAAACAGAGCTACAACAATCTATACGTTACTGCAGTGATTATAAAAACACAAAACCATCTATAACTCTTCGGCCAAAAAAAAGACACAAAAAAAAGATTTAAGCACCCACTTGGCTCTTACTAGAGAAACTGTGAGCAAGCTCACAAGCACACAGTTAAGAAGGAGCTGTGCTTACAAGGTCCCTGAAGGAGATATTTAAAGTTTCAAGGGCCATAACTACAGGAAAATAATCCAATCAAGTTATCTTAATGCACATTTACATATGATGTACCTTCCCTGTGCCAAGTTACAAAATATTCCATCATACAAGGTTTCTGGAACAGAAATTTAAAGTTTTAACGGCTGTAACTCCAGAAAAAAATAATTTGAATGGACAATTTCTTTCTCCATGCACATTTAATGTACCTCCACTGTGCCAAGTTACAAAAAAAATCTAAAAAACAGTTAAGTAGAGTCAATTGTGCTTTAAAGGTTCATGGACAAACAAACAGGGGGATTCCCATCTATCACATAACCGGGTGATTCCTATATACCCCCCCCCCCCAAACTTTGTTTGCAGGAGGTATACAAATGATAAGGTAGGCAAACACCGACTGAACACAATCTGACGTTATGATTTAAGGTCAAACTGCAGACAATTTGACAGTGTACAGCATTCTGTCAGTGTATCAGGTAATCTATGACCAGATCTGATAGTGCTGTAAAATAAGCCCCATGCCTGATAATAAGCCCACCCTATCTATTGAAGTTCAGTAGAAATGCCAACAAGTGTTTTATTGTTATCCTTAAGCTTTCCACCCATCTATTTTGAGACAGAAATTATGTGTTAACCTTCAGCTAGACTTCTTTCAGGATAAATATGGTAGCACCTTGAAACTGCAGACTGAAATTGTAAATTAAAATTTGTATGATCACAGTTCTCACACTAAAATAGCCTAGATTACATTTGCACTGGTGGAACCTCTTCACGGATCACACATTTTCATTTTAAAGATGATTACATACATAAATGCCATACCATATTCAATACAACTTACCTTGTGTTATAACTAAAAGCAGGTAGTTGCAATAACACAAAGTCAAGGAGGCTCTGTGGTAGTATAGTTCTATACAAATGGCTTCTTCAGTTTCAACCAGAGAATCGACTGGAAACATACACTGGACTTATATACTTACAGGTTAAGTAGCATCTATCAATTTTATCTACCTACCAGCATTTCCCTAACCTATAGCTCTCAAAATGAACATACCAGCATGTACAGACTGCTCTAATCTACAAAGCAACCAAAAGGTACACCTACCAGTAGTACTTGTAGATATACCCTGATGGACAAGTGGTAAATTATATACACAAGACAACAGGTGTTAGAATATTCCTATAAACCAACACTTATACCACACACAGGCCTGCAATACTCTCTGATATAGAAACACTTAACAACCTAATCTATCTGAACAGATTCAATTACATAATGCACACACACACACATATATATACACTAGATATATAAATGAATACACTAAATGCACAAATATGCCTTATTAGATACGTACTCAGAATTTTAATATCCTCCCATGGAAATATAAAGACAAATAAATATTGTATTAGATAAGGAACATTTTATAGAACACAATTTCTGAGGATCTGATCCCTCAAATACTCACAGATGAAATATGTAAACATGGGTTTCCAGTATCAAATTCAGTTAGAGATGTTACTATACGTATACACAGCCTGTACAGTATACGTAGTAACCCTTAAACCTCCTCATCTAGCTTACAACAACTATGATAATCTAATCAGTACCTGTTAACACCAAGTAATTATCTTTATCAAACAAGTGGTTATCAGTTAATTGACGAAGAGCATATATATACACAGATATGGTACCGATGTGTGTATATACACACTATATTAGCTTGCAGTCTGCAAATCTTTACCACATGGTACAACTCCAATGGCTCTCCGACTAATATAGCACTTGTCTTATGAAGGCTTTAATCTTTATTGAGTGACAGATTTATATATGATTAAACAGGCTTTCTTCTTGTGTTGATTTTTATTTGTTTGTGATTTACATCCTATATATAAATTAACAGCTGCATGTATATGGTCATTCAAGGACGTGCCAGGTTTTGGTGGTGGAGGAAAGCTGGAGTTCCACCGACCTAATTATAAGGCCAGTACCTGGCATCTGCCCCATGCAGGCCTCGAACCTGCGACCCAGTGGTGGAGGGCTAGTGGTAGCAGAATGTCAGACGCCTTAATAACCACTTGGCCACTACGGCCCCCAATTTTGTGTTGAAACCATCCGTCAGATATAATCTTGTTTGATTAACTTCATCTTAAATTCCTGAGTTTATCTTCCTTGAGTTTATCTTTACCTTGGTTGAGTTTATCTTATTTATCTGAAGTTTACTTTTACCTATCTTTACCTTGGTTGAGTTTATCTGATTTATCTGAAGTTTACTTTTACCAGGTATCTTGGTTTACTCAATCTTCATTAATACAGGTATAGTTTGCTTTTGAGTCTACGCCATATATATACATCCTCCCAACAGCTGAGGCCAAATGAACACACTATATATATATACATGTACATGTCCACAGATTATATAATCATGATGCAGCACTTATATAAGAGCCATTTTACTGTCTCATTGAAATGTTACAATTTGGACATGCTAGCTAGAACATCACAATATGTATTTTCCTCAAATAAGTTTTGCACATGTACAGTATAATATAATGTTAAGTTTGAAAATAATGTTCAATAATTGACATAAAACAATTTGAAAATAATTCCAAGTTGTTGGAACTTATCCAATTGGTATAAGTTTACTGCTGAATCTCTTAAACCTGGGATGATACTGGGCGAAAGAAATCTTTTTCAGATCGTGACTTGCATTTATTCATGTGATATTCTTTAGGGAATATACACTTTTTTTTCATTTTTTCAAATAGCTGTTAACAAGATTTCATAAAGCCTTATTATGCCTGGTCACAATTTAGAAATGTCCAAGGTTATAATATCTATGATGATGTAGTTAAAAGTTGCTGAGCTGTACATGTACATGTATAAATGTTTGACCCAATCTGACTTTGCCACAGGCAATTGCTATCAGTATAGTAAAATGTCAGATTACTCAGAATGTAATTTCTTGTAAAAATCTTCTGGATACCAAATTCCTTGATTAGCAATTACTACTGTCAGGCCACTGCCGTGGAAAATGTTCCGAAGAATAAATGTCCAGATATATCTATAGCCAGTCTCCTGGATTACTTGAGCCCAGATTATGAAATATGACTGTTCTATAACTCATTCACCCCTGCAGACACTTTTGAACTGTTCCATTTCAAAGGTAGGAATAGTTCATTATGAAAGTTCAGGGGGGAATGAGTGAATATGTACATTAGAATCACTGAAGTATATGGTGATCAACACTACAAATCTTACCTTGCCTATACACTGCTTGAGTATACTCCAGATACTGAAGTCATTCCGGTCAAACATTGGAACAGGAAGCCGGCTCCTGAAACACAGCAAAACAAATCAAATTACACATATATTTCAAAAGTAACAACAAAATTCTGTAACGGTTCAGGACGAATAAAAGAAACACCATATTGATTCATGTTTGAGGTTGATAACATTAAACAACACCATCAAATTGGAGATTTTGATTAAAATAAACATGAGGTTGAACTAACAAGGCATCACAAACAATACAAATCGGCAGAACTCATGTAATATACATGTACAACACTTTATGTATAGCTGATGATTTATCTATCATAACACTGTGACCTTGACCTTGATTGCAGCATCCTGAAACGTGAACTTGTATAAGGCGGCCTGTCATACCTGTACCTGTATGTACCTATTTATAACTAGTGGTTATCACTTATATCTATTGGAAAATAAAGATTTATCTATCATAACACTGTGACCTTGACCTTGACTGCAGCATCCTGAAACCTGAACTTGTATGTATGTACCTGTTTATAACTAGTGGTTATCACTTATATCTATTGGAAAATAAAGTCACTATGTTGCGATGGTTAAAAAGCTGAAAGCTTTTCAAGATAACAATCAGTGACCTCCCCTGACCTTGACCTCATGCAAAACCCTAAAAAGGAACTTAATGTCTACACGTACGTATCATCATACATATATTATTTATCACATAATGAACTGTGTTATCCAGTGAATATACCCATGTCATATTTTTTTTGCGTGTTAACCCATGTAATATGACCTATCAGCCCTGTGATTGGCTGTAGGTATCAATTGTTTCAATTGTGACGTCACGGCTAGGACAAGTACATGACGTCACAGACTTACTGCTCGCTGGAGTCAAAATGGCTGCTTTTTACATTTCGAGGTTGCATGAAAATTGTCGTTTTTCACGAATAAATGCCGCAAATCTTGATTATGTGATAAAAAGTATTTTACACACGTTTTCATTTCATATAAAAATTATGAAACTTGTCACAAATATTTCATTATAGCTCGCCTATGGAAACTGACATGTAAGATCCTATATATATACACATTTGCATGATAGATATCGGTTTTAAGTGGCTTAACACGGAGCAACTATCTTACTTCCATTTATCTATTCATTACATCTAAACACCACATCATTATGCTTATGTACACATGTTGGTAAATATATAGTGCTGTAATCACTAAATTATAAATGTAGCCTACTCAGTCATTCACTCACACACACTCACTGTTTATAGTCTCAAATTTTACCATAAATGATGTCTCAAAAAAAGTTACAAATAGAAGGTACTGTACTAAACATAAAAAAGTTGGCTTCATCCTGTGTTGAGGTAAACGAGACATACAGGCCGTAAATCAACCATAAATACCATTTATCCTGCAATGAGACCTGGAAAGGACCAACATATATATCTTATTGTAAATTCGGACTCAAGTAAAAGGATTGGCAATTATTTAACAAGACAATTAAATTTAATTATTCTTTTGTGCATTTCTACGGAACTGCAATAGATATGGTTGGGCTAATATGGTCAATATTGATTTAGTACTCCTATTTTGAATTTGAACAATCAGAAATGCGGGTAAACAGGGTTCAATGGAATCACTTGAGAGATCATTTTTGGGGAAAAAATATGTGTTTCGAATTACGAATTCCCATCTATTCGAATTAACTTGAGTTTTACCATAACATCACGAGTTGTCTGGTCACACTTTATTATATTATGTAACCTGTGATTATAAGCCCATATTGCTCTACATTAAGCTCATCCACTTATCAAACAGATTTCATTCAAAGGGGAAATATCTGGAAGCAGCTGTGGGACCACTTTTGCAAATTAATATACATTGTAAGGTTGGATTCACTTATATATTTTACCTCCTTCCTTAACAGTCTGGGCTAGTAAAACAGCCTCTGAATATATAATGTGATCAGGCTCAGTTGGTTGAGATCTTTCATGGGAAGAAATTTTCAATCCCGGAAATTGCTCATAATTATTTAACTGCATGTGTAAGGATTTTTACATGATCTAGGAACAAATAAATCTGATCTTTTGTAAAATTTTAAGTTGTTAAAATTTTAATATATTTTTTAATTTATTTTAAAAATCATTGTGAATTGGCTGTTTTGTATTGGTCAGTTTCGACAATAAAACATACTTGCCACCACCAACCGGCCTCCCTATTTAGGAGGGAGACTCCAGATTTTGGACCCAATTCATCATTTTCAACCAGTGAGCTTGCTAAACTATTCCTATATATTCTAAGATCGAATGATTTCATCTGAAAGAACAACTCAAAATATGTCATTTTAAAGGATTATTTTGTCTCTAGACTCCATATATATACACACATTTTATTTAGGTTTTAAATTTGAGAGTGCAGAATCTCCCCAATGGAAATCTCAAAAAGTTGGCAAGTAATGAATGAGGCTCTGGATCAATTATAAGTACATAGCAATATAACTGACACATATTACCTTCATTCAGCTGTGCTTATTAGTGAATAGAATCAGTTTCAAAATATAAAACAGCAGCATCTTTTCATCACCACATTAAGTACATTGTACAACCACAACTGTCCAACATTAACACTTTAGCAGATTAATATTAACTGGCAAATTACTATTGATGTTAAATATTTTTCTGTAATATCGACTTATATAACCGTGTCTATTTATCAAGGTCTGATGACTCATTGATCAAAACATTGCCCATCTGTCACAAAGTTTACACTCAGTCGAACAAAGGCTTACATAGACAGGATAAAGGATTATTTTTCTTATCAATTAAAACATTTTAGTCAATATACAAAAGTGCTGATAAGTCTTTAGGAAAATGACATGTCCTTTACTGGATGAAAGCCAGAAAGAAATACATCAATCATATTCATAATCAATATCTTAGGAAGTGGGATATTGATCCTGACGACGGAGAACCTCTGACATTCACTACTTGGACTCTGTAAGCCCGGCTCCTCACACTGATCGGCTAGGGATACTGAATTCATGGTAGGATTGTACCAGAGTGATTGATATCTAGGAGTTATTAATGGACATATCTGACCTCAATTCCCCTTCTACTCTCCACCCCCTACCAGGAACAGTCCTTCTAATATACCCTCTGGTCTTCACCCATGACCTCTACCAGGAAGAGACATTTTACAACATCCCACCGACTCTCAACTCTATAATACCCTAAACAATGGTCACATCAACCCATTTTCACATAAAAATAAGCAAAACTATTGTTACTGTAGGAAAACCACTTTTTGTTGTTGTTGCTTTTTCAAACTTTATGCAATGTCTGACCAATATTAAGTCAAAGTGAAGTGGAAAATATAGGTCACAGTGACATAGTTAATTGGATGGTACATTAACATGGGATGTATTTAGCCAAATGAAAATTTGAATATTTTACACTTGCCTTAAGTAATACATATATTATGTAATGGACCACAGCTGAACAGGAAGTGTAACACAGATGTTGTATGACCAGATGTAGTGACTAATAAAATCTATATCTCAGATGAGGGTTAAGATTTCGTAACAAAATCCCAACCGAGGCGTAAACCGAGGTTGGGATGTTACAGAATCTTAGCCTGAGACTAAGATAATGCGATCTTGCTCAGTTACAGGTAATTAATTTTTTTTCTCGCAACTTTTATTTTGAAAAAAACTGTTCAATTTTGCTAAAAACTATAAGTATCCCGCCTTGGGCCTCAAATGATGATGACCTCTTCACTACTTCGGCTACATTTGAATGCTTCCGCGTAAAAAACATAGTCCGTCCTTACATAGATTACAACATTTTTCACAGTGAAGATTATATTTTATCTACAACATCAAATAAACGGCAAAACAGAACATTTATAATGCAAATTGTCAATTTCAAGCAGTTAACGGGCGGATGAATACATTGAAGCGTAAAATTTCCGCGACATGTCACGTAAAGGTACAAGACAGATCAGACGAGACAGAAAAATCTAGCATGGGGTATGACGTGGGATATCTCTGTCTGAGGTGCGAGAAATATATAAACCGGGTCCTGCAGACTGAGGTCACATAATTTAACCTGTACGTTAATATTGTTGGCTGGACCATATCACTTAGGGACTATAGTACTCCTCACAGTGGTGGAGTTGAACATGCAACCAGCAATTCTACAAACGTATCTATCCTGATTAATTTTGAACTGTGTAATGTCATTGTCGTTCCGTGGGATCTGAAGTGATAGTTGATCAATTCAGCTGAGTCACACATACACTGTAAAGTATGTAATGAATAATAGGCAAAAAACACTTGCACATTACAGCATCATAACCTTTTCGGGACAATAATCAGCCGTTTACGTGCTTATATTGGGCAGAAGGCCTGGCGGACTGATAAAGGTCGAGGACAAATTCTACCCCAGGGATTTGTTAGAAAACAGTCATTCACTCTCTCCTGCTCTGTGGTAAGTGTCTGTGTACATACATCTCTACATGTGGCTATCATACACTTCTCAGTAGGATTCCCAAGTAGACCCATTATTGTTGGAGTTTCCCCAGAATATTGTGTTCTAGATGTTTATTACATCCTCGTAACAAAAACACAGCCCTATATATACCATGTCAGAGTGATCTAGTGTTGAGTTTACACTATCTGTGACTACAGGTCTCCCATTCCATTGGCTGCTAGCTTAGCTGTCTCTCATTATCATCATCCTACATCCTACAGGTTTCACTACAGAACACATACAATGGAATCATGTATATTAACAGAGATGAAGACCAGTATTTCAGATAGCCTGACCTTACAGTAAACCTCCGGTCAGTTGGAATAGGCGGATAGTTTGAACACACCTTTTTAACAATAAAAACAATAACTGTTTGTCTGGTTATAGTTCAAAACCGCCTTATCAACATTTCAGATAGTTCGGACACATCGTACGAAGTTTGGGTAACGGTGAATTTAATTTGAAGTGCGAGTTTGACTATCGGCATTCCCGGTTAGTACACCTGTTTCCTCTTGCATAAACACCT